AACACGCATAATTTAAAAAACAATTAATACATCATGTCGTTTTACGAGGGCCGGGACCGTTGGGACCTCGCGAAGCGGCAGCCCGCAGGACCCGCTACCGCCGCACACCTCCGCGTGCGGGGCGGCGAAGCTGCACTCGCCACCGCCCAACGCGGCCTCGCAGGAAACGCATCAGTTAATGCGCGCAGGAAACAGCATATACAAACAAATCGTCCACTCATCTCTTTAGCCTCCTCTGGGAGCATCCCCCCCACCCCCCAACGGGCATCCCAACAGACAAACAAATATATCGCGACGGAGCAGCGCAAAATGGGTCCGCCCTCAAATTAATTTATTTAAAAGGCGGGAGGCACGAGGGCCGGCCCACACACGCAGCAGCAGCACGCCGCACCGCTGTCCGCAGCTACACGTGCCTAGAAACGTGGATGGTGGCATCCGAGTCCTCCACACCAGAGCACTCCTCCTTCAGCGAAAAAGACGTTTGCCACAAACTGCTGTGTGACGGACGTCCCACGAGACGGCCCCCCCTCTCAACGGCGGCGTTGAATAAGTGCGGCACATCGCTACTCTGAAAGACAGACATAAGCTGCTGGCTTTCTTTACGCGGCTCGCCCCCAGATGAAAGTTTGCATGCACTTTTCTCCATCACGCGACCCATCTTGGACGCCAGCCGCCCCATCGCCACGCGGCACGCCTCCTCCTCACGCGCCGCCCCGACGCCGCGCGGCACGCTGACCCTCCAACGCTCGCACAGAGGACGCAGCACCTTCAGCCGCAGCGGGGCCGCAAAAGTGCCAAACAGAACAGCCAACACGGACACTATCGTGTGCGAGACGCCGCTCATTGCGGTGGACGCAGAGGCCTCGTCACTGCTTCCCCATTCCTCGCCACCGTCGTCAAGCTCCGCCGCCTCTCGGTCCAGCCGCAGCGCCGCAAAGGTGCGCCCGGGCACGGCGTCCACCTGGTACATCTCCACGGGCCGCGGCACCCCGCGCAGCGCCACCGCGCCCAGCGCCGTCACCTCAACCTCCTCCCGCTCTGCCGTGCTCAGCGCCATGTACGCCGCACGCGTCAGCAGCACCTGCCCGCCGTTCCCCACGCTCTCCGTGCGCGCCGCCATGTTCGCCGTGTCGCCGTAGTAGTCGTACCCCTTCGTCACCTCGTCGCGCCGGATGTCGCACAGCCCGGTGTGCACCCCCGCACGCACCCGCAGACCGCCCCAGTACTGCCGGTACACAGCGGCGTCCAGGCGCGCTGTCGGCGGCACGTACCCCTTCGTGTCCTCCTCCTCCGCCCGGCCCTCCTCGAACTTTCGGTACGCGGCGTCGAGCGCACTCGTCCCCCACTCGTGCCGAAGGAACACCTGCTGCAGCTCACGCACAAGCTGCACGGCGGCGAACACACTCTTGCACGCTATCATGAACGAGTCACCAACCGTCTTCACCTCGTAGCTGCTGTACTTCGCGATCAGCGCGCGGATCAGCCGGTGGTGTGTCGCCACGGCGTCGGGCATCACCTCGGAACACGCGGACCACAGCGCCGTGCTGCTCTCGATGTCGGTGAACACGAGCGTCACGGGGTCCGTCGGCTCCTTCGGCGCATTCGCGTTGTCACGCGAGTCGCGGCAGAAGTGCACCACCACAGCCACCACAGCCACCACAGCCACAAGCAGCACAACAGCAGCAGCGATGACGATGCCAATCAGCTCCTGTAATTTCAGCCCATGCGCA